AAAACGTAGGCAGGTGCACCAAGGTATTAAGATTCTGATGATTTTACGCTTCCTTAAGAGTCACCAGCGGCTACAGACTACTGGCGGCTGCTATGGGCTGCTACAGGCTGCTAACGGCGGCTGCCGGCGCGGCAAGAAGGCACCCTCTACTCGCCTTGCTTCTCTGCAGTGCTAACATGGAGCGAGTACTCTACCAAAAGTGAGCAAAAGGCTGTATAAGGAGATCATGCAAGTGCAATTTTGCTGAACAGCGCACGAAAAAATTTGGAACAAGTAACTGGAGCCTTCGTATTGCAAATTCTACTGGCGTTACAAACCACACGCTTTTTTAACTGAAAATTTGCTCTTTATCATCCTGCATGGTACCTCGGTCACAGTCAAATGAACAGAAGTTTCAAGCAGCTGTTTAAGACTATACGCAGTCATACACCCTACTGATAGGTTCCCTAGCTTCCTTATTATCATCACATTTCCCATGACTGAAACTGCAAGAAGTTAACTTACAAGGAGGCGTGTTTAGTCGAAGTGGCCTTTCTAGATGAGTCCCATACTGCTTTGAAGAACATTAAGCGGTGATTCCAAATCCGCCTTTCAAATCTGCCAAGCGCCTCTGGACGCCAACTTATAGTCCTTTTTCAGGTCAAAAATTGGACGCAAAACTGGAACAAAGTCGCTCAAATTTGCTCAAATGGTCCAGTGTCAAGTATCACAGCCGTTTATGCAAAAACTACATTTTGCCTAATATTTTGATACTTAACATTGCTTTATTTGAGCGCTGGAAAGATTGTAACAATCGATTTTACTTAATTATTGCATTCATTTTTCGTTCCAAAAAACGTTCATAACTCGGTAATTCGGCGTCCAGAGGAGCTTGGCGGATTTGGAATCAACGTGCAACACTCTTCAAAACGGTAGGGTCTCAACTGAAAAGGCCATTTCGACTATACACGCTTCCCTTGTTAGTATCTTTACACTGTTTATAAACATAGCATACTGGTCCCATGGTTTAGTGTGAATTAGATGATCGATCTTTGGGTATTCTTGTTTGCAGCGAAGTCATCCAAAGGAATATTTGAATGAGTTTCACTTACAGGGAAAGGATACCAACTTAGATTCGCTTTTGGAGATGGGACATATATATTTGGAATCATCTTTGAACGCTAATTTCAAATATACTGTTCCCAGCTGCTTAGCGTTATTCCGAAGCGAGTTATGGGCTTGCTGTTGTGAGCAAACTTTTGAATGTCATAAGACGGCGTGTAGCTAAGAATCTGCTCGAAAAAAGTGCTAGGATGTTGAACTAGCATCAGATTAATTTTTTCAATCTTGAAAGGGGGGCATTATACAATTGCAAAACCATCTGAACGTCAACACCTAGCGTCAGTAGATAGAGGAGCGCGCAAACTTTTCATAGAAGAGGGGCCATAACTCGCTTCAGAGTAACGCTAAGCAGCTACGAACAGCATATTTGGGATCAGCGTTCCAAGCTGATTTTAAACATGCGTGCCTCATCCTAAAAGGCGAATCTAAGTTAGTATTCTTCCCTTTTCAGTACTTCTAAACCACAATTTCTGTTCTATGCATTTCGAATGCAAAACATTTCTTGAGAAGAGTACAAGCTCAACTTTTTTGGAACAGCGACTTCTTCAATATCGTTATCATCCTGACGTTTGCAAATGGTCAACATATCGTTTCCAAGATTCGAGGGGAGGTGGACAAATGTTAAGCTGGAAATCGTTTTGTATGGAAAGCAAAGGGGAAATGGTGAAAAATACATACACTTTACCGACAAGTTGCTACACGACTGACATGCAAAAAGATCTTGCTCGCGCGACATCTTTAAAAATCCTAATTTTCTTTCATTGAGTTGTAATCAAATGTCCCGATTACCGCGCACACATAACGATATGACAAAAAATCTTGAGTATACGGACTAGGAGAAGCATAGTGCGGGAGGAGGAACGAAAACCTCAATTAGGCACCGCCTCCGCCGACTACTGGTCCCAACACGATGCACAGCAATTGGATGAAAGGACTATCTCAGACATTCGCAGTTGTCACCCGCAGGTTAAAATGATGTGATCTCATTGACCAACTGCGCGTCACACGAAATCGGTGTCGGGGCAAAATCGGGACACCTGTGTTTCCATCGGGGCAAAAGTGCGGGGCATTCTCCGGTCATAATCGGGTGACCTGCGGGAGACATCGTAATGCCCCGTTCCTTGCTTCAAGCTGTGGTTCACCTTCGTAAGTGTATATATGTATATATTTGCAAACTTACTACCTTTTTCTCGGAAAATTCCTCCAAATCTTCAGCTTGCTAAAAAGGCAATTAACTAATCCAAATTCACAAGTATTGCGAAAGTCGTACATACCTCTTCCTCAGAGGCGATAACTGATTCGTACTTCGCAGACCAAAATCAAACAGTTTAAGATAAAGTTCATCAATAGAGTAGTGTTAGGAAACTTTTGAAATGGGCAAGATGTTCACTTCGGTAAAGTCGTCTTATGTGTCATAAAAATTAGTGTTAGTGTTTCTTAGAGAAAAATCAAAAATCTTTTGACCAGGTTTCCAAAAGTATTAGTTCTTCTGCAACAACTCAAAACAAACGGATGAATTGAGTACTAAAGCTGAAGCTCTTAAAAGTTGCTTGATTCAAAATTTGTAAAGACCGCCTCCGATTCAGTTGCTTTGTATATTTGGGACTTGAGTGTACGAAGGCACTCTGCCTTGATCAAGATTCCCGTTGTACCTGCTTTTCTGTTGATCCATGATGTTCTGCTGCTGAAACAGGTAACTTGAGCCAAATACTCATTCTCGGATAAACTTACCTGGAGCAGCCTGAGCACTTGCTACCAGTAGTAACAATATCTGAAAAGATTTTTGTGCTGCCACATGGGTTAGATTACAGGAAAATGGAGAGCAGACTGTTTCAAGAACTAGAAGTTTCATCATCCATGCGGAAGAACGACTCTGACCTCTGATTTGTGTCGCCTTTAGGCATTCGCCACAGTTGATCCTCCTGATCCACTGATCCGCTTGATCCGCTTGATCCGCTTGATCCGCTTCGTGCAAAACACGCATCACCCCTTTGTCGCGTACAGCGAATTTGCGTAACCATAAAAAACTTACGCGGCGCCAAATGGTAAACTGCTGTGTGCGCGCGTTTTGCACAAAGCGAATCAAGCGGATCAAATGGATCAAGAGGAAATGAGTATGGCGGATGCCTTATACACCACGCGTATGTTTCAAGTAAAAATGTGATATGATATGGGCAGCTGTACACGTAATGTTCGTCCACTCGACAACTGATTAAGCTGTACTTGTTAGAGCATGAACGTTATTTGTTTGAACCCTCGTGAACTGTCTTTTGCTTTTGCTTAACTAAATGGTCGCTTTTGGTACTACAGGAGCTATGTTAAATTGTCATGCAGACTGCATGTGCAATTTTCCTCCACAGACTTCGCTGGTAATGCATCTACCTAAACTTTCTTCGGGCTCCGCCTCAAACCCCCGCAAAAGCGAATGCCCTTTTGCTTATTGTCCCAAAGGCGAAGTTCAGCTCGGTTCAATTCGATCTGTGCCGGGCCCTGGCTAATGGCATCTGATGTGATGACCTGTTACTTGATGGTTGTTATGCTGTGTACAACAAGTTTATATTTGGTACCATCGTTTCAAGCGCTTTGAGATGATATATGTCTTATCTGGATTGGTGCTTTCGACTAAAGTCTGCTCCAATTCTTCAGGCCAAACCGTTGGCGTAAATTTGCGCGCTCGCAGCGCTAAGCGTTTGCGCTGCATATGCGCGCTATCGGAGAGAGCCAAAGGATTGGAGAGAGAGCAGAGAAGCAGGTCGTGGGCGTGACCGTGAAACCCCAGCGGATTCCCGCCATGCCAATTTTGGCCTGGTTGGGATTGGGGCAGACTATAGGTATCCTTTCCCTGTGGGATAGTTCATACCGCGCACAATGGCGCACAAAGGCGCACGAACTGCTAAAGCGCAGGGATTTGCCGGCAAAGTGCAATATTGGAATACGCGTGAAATACAGCGCGCGTTGTGCACGTATGTTACTCACAAGTAGCTCGACGCTACATATCTTTTTGTTTGCTACTAATCCTATTGCAAGAATCTGTCGACTTGCGTCTGTTCTTTTTTGTTTTTACGTTACAATTCCATGTATCTATACTCTTTACCCTCAATGTAGCGTCAACTTCTTTCACGGATGTATCTCTCAATCTCCAATTTTCTTCGTTATCGCAGAGAAAATTTCTCTTGTTCTGTTATGGTGTGTGTATGTGCATGTGTGTGCATATGTGTATGAGTGAGTATGTGTGTATATGTGTGTATGTATGTATGTATATGTGTCGAGATAAATGTTAACTTCTTGCGCTCAATGCTTACCGCCAATTTCATTGCTTCCATTCTCTTTGCATTTCAAACGTTATTGGCCGTGCAAGGTCGTTATGCGCTATTTCATCTCTTTTGATGAGGATCCAATTTCAGTGTAGTCAATCGTCAGCTTTGAAGTGAGTCTCAACTTTCGTGAACTGCTAGTGCAGTTTGTCCAAGAATAGGCTGCTATTTGGGATACGCGATGCAGCGACTATCATTTGAAAACGAAGAGAGATGACGCATGAGATAGAGTTCTAAAAAAGCTCCTTGCAAGGAAGATCGTCTGCGATTGTAAGTTACTATGAGTCTAAGTTTCGATACAGCACTATCTTTCTTTCAGTGGATTACTGCAAATCAACTTGGAGGAGGATGCGAGACCCATACAAAAAAATTTATGGCAAGCTTATATCCGGTTCGGAAGCGCCGACTAACTTCCAACGCCAGGGAATCATGGCCCTATTACAATTTATTGAAACTACAATGCAAGTCCCTGGGTAAGTATTGAATGCGAGACTCTGTTAGTTACGCAAACAAACTTTTGTTTAACTCGCTTTTCAAATCTTGATCACACTAACAACACCGCTGTCGATCTTGCTCCTACTAACGATGCCGCCGTTGACGATGATATCATCATCGATGAAAATGGTGAAGAGTGCGCATACCTTACTAACTTGCTTTTTTGGAAATGATTCAGATCCACCGTCACAAGGGAAGTCTTTTTCACGAAGTTCACCAGCACCGCTCGACGACTGTTCGCCATCTCCTACGGAGACAGCTTCGTTTATGAAATCCGAAAGGACACCGCTTGCGCCAGTGGATGCCGGACGAAAATGCTTTGGAAAAAGAAAATATCCGTATACGTCGAAGTCTGAGAAAGCTAGTGGTAAGCATTTGTTTCGCCTTTTCACTTTTTCTCTCGCTTCGTTTTGATTTAGCCATTGAAGCTGTCCACAAAGCGACAGACGCCGTGAGGGAGCAACTTCAAGAGATGAAACACAATGCACCCATTGATGAGTACTACCATTTCGGTTAGTATTTTTATACAATCAGTGGTGGTTATATACTTCACTCTCTTTCTTCAGGGAATTATGTATCGCAAACTCTGAGGAGTTTGCCAAAAGCATTGGTTCACGAACAGATGGCACTGATCGCTCAAGTTTTTGCTTACGACGACATCACCTTCATCACTACGAAGCCAGACCACCCTGCAAGATGGAATTGGTCAGCATTATGAAATGATGGAGCCAGACGGAAGCCAGATGACGGGAGGCAACCTTGAATATTCTGAGTATGTTCAACCGAAAGAAAGCACCCAGCAGCCATATCACAGTCCCTGAGTATGCACTTATGCTACTTCTTAGGCAATTGCGACTCAGTCTTTTCTTTGTCTGATAGTGTGTTTAACCGATATCAACCTCTACGTGAAGCTTATGTGTTATTTTTGCATGCTCTGACAGGAAACGATTCACTACTGAGCTGGGTTCATTTGATTCGTTTCCCGAGATACCTCTACGTGAAGCTCTGAAGATACTTTTTGGCCATCTTTTGTTTACTTAGTTATTATCAATCGTCGTTTTTATGTAGATAAATGTTTATTAGTACATTTTTTCTTTCCGAACAACATAAAGAAGTGAACGGAGTAAATGAATTCTGGCAAAAAAGTGAAGCACCAATTGAATCTGAGTGACATGAGATCAATACACATTTCCTCACACAAAATATTCAACGGGCATGGCCGTATCTTTCAACATAGTACTGGGTTATCAGGTTCTTGGCTGTGATGGCCAAATCTGCCCCTCTTCTTCGAATCTCCTGCTGTCTTTGGAAGGAATGATAGCCATCCGGTGCAGGTTCGTGCCTTTGCACCTCCGCTAAACTGTCTTCTCTCGAGAAAGCAGGTTGTGCAGAATCTGGGAAGTATCACAATAGCTTGCAAACATCGGGGTGCTCTTCCAGAAGGACTGACCATGAGCGAAATGACAATTCGACTAGTTCGCTCAGGATCCATGTTTATACGAGTCATGAGAATTCGGAATCGCTGAGCCAGTATTCCAAAGGTTGATTCGATCGTGCGGCGAGCCCTGATCGGTGCAATAGTAAGAAATCTACAATTCTGCTGACAACACCTAATCTTACCTGCTAAAGATCCGGTTGAAACGCCTTCGATCTGCGGTGTTTGCTTCTCTTTCTCTGTATGGTCTAATCATTCTATAGCTTTGTCCAAATCCTCCATTGACGAGAATGTGGTACTGGACTGGGCCAACAGTACCAAACTCTCTGGTAGGGAGAATACCTCGTCGTGGCTCTCCAAAAACTCCTAAATGGCATGACTCATGTATATCTCAAGCATATTTTGTCAAGGTGCAAACTTTAATGGAGGAACTTCGGTAGACTCCAGCATCACCGGCACCTCCCCCCTAATCCCACGTCATATCCGTGGATGCGGTAATCGGTATCACACCAGGCATTATTGAATAATAATGTTTGTTCCAATAGTCGCTACCCGAGTCTGCCGGCCTCTGTGGAAAACCTTTGTGGTTCTGCGAACATTATGCAACACAAACCCTGATGCAAATATGCTTTCCGTCCATGAATCCAGCTGCTCGAGGATAGTCATATAATGCTTGTGCCCTTCTTGCCACTCTTGTCAACATCTCTCGCGTTACAGGAGGAAAAGCTTCTTCATGCAGCTCTGAACTTTGTTTTTGGAAGACTTTGAGCAGATGCGTACGAATGTGCTTATATGCTTGTACCGGTTATGATAGATTCTGTGATATCCCTGACAATCTCTGAAACAGTGCTCACTCCACATCCCATGTCTAGTGCAAACGCCGTAAAGCTTATTCCTTGTGTGACGATTCTCAAAAATAACAATGGTTGTCAGGTTAATTAGGAACATGAGGTCAACGCTTTCACCTTAGATACATCATTAGTCTATGGCGACCAACGATGGGGTCAGCGTGGAACCTCAGACGTTCTATACTATCATCCTTTGATAGAGGTTTTCGGACTCCTGGCATGAGCCTGATGAAGTCCAGAAAGCCCTCGGGCCTACGCGTGACCAGATACTCATCGAAGAGACGAAAGCGGATTGAAAGGTGCCCACGCTGTTCTTGGCGCACATATTGTCGTCTTTCTCTTGCAGTGGATTCCAAGTTCGCTACTGCTTCCTCCAGCACATGCAACCTCTCGAGCAGATTGGAATACTGTTGGAAAGCCATATTGCAACACGTCGAATTATCAAGTGACATTGCGAAGAACACGAAAACAGGGCGGTAATTGATCACATGACCTTTGAAGCAGCAGGTAAGAATCAAAAAGCAAAGATCAAAAGGGTTGAGTGTCTGTATGGAAAGTTTTCCCGTCTGCGCACCAGAAGATTCACATATCCATATAGTATGTAAATCAAATGATGACAGAGAATAAGCTAATTCTTGCTATTTGATCAGACATAAAATGGGCCGAGAGTAGGAGTAAAAGGAAAAAACATTCAAGTAGCAAGAAAGTCATGCATATGTACTTTCTCATCACCACCATGAAGTAAAGTAGTTGTAATTTACTTTCATGCGAAGAGAAGCACCAAGAAAGCTTTTCCATCACATACTTGCGGATCACTGCACAGTTTGTGATGGAAACAGGACTGTAACAACAGACAGTAGTAGAGTACATCGATCAACGCCATCAATGATGGAGTAAAAGAAGAGATAAAAAGAACTAACAAAACAGTAGATTCTTACCATAAAAGCACAAACAGAAACTGTAGAAAAAAGTTAATTGGTCATAACTTACTTACCATACAAAGGGAAGCAGAAAGAAAGCTTTTCCTCGCAGATTGTGTGGTCCACATTTCTGCAAGAATGTGACAACACACAGAAGTAGAGAACAGCAATCGATGCCAGTGATAACACTGGTTTCAAAAAGAAAGGTGATGAGAGATAAGATAGTAAGTATATAGTAGCCACACAACATAGGAGAGCGAGGAGAGCGAAAAGAAAAAACGCTTGAAAACCAAAAAACTCAAGCACAAAAGTTAACACTGACTGAGGTCAGAAGCCTAAGATACTTGACACATGTATACACTCAGACACATACACTCACACACATGCGCACCACATATCACACACTCAACACATTCGCACTCACATACGCATTTACACATACACAACACATATGCTCACACACATACACACATACACACGTACACCCACACACACATACACTCACACACATACACTCACACACATACACTCACACATACACACACACATACACACACATATACACTCACACACATACACACACACTCAATGCACAACACATAAACACATACACTCAGACACACACACTCACACATGGAATAAAAAGGAAAAACTCCCAAAGTATAAGAAAAAGCAAAGCATTAAAACTCACCTGAAGTCTGCAAACATGAGACGTACCAGAAAAGACCAAAGTCGACAGATTCTTGCAATAAATTAGTAGCAAACGAATATAGATATGTAACGTCGAGCTACTTGTAAGTAATATGCGTGCACAACGCGCGCTGTGTTTCACGCGTATTCCAATATGGCACTTTGCCGGCAAATCTCTGCGCTTTGGCAGTTCGTGCGCCTTTGTGCGCCTTCGTACGCCTTCGTGCGCCTTTGTGCGCCTTCGTGCGCCTTCGTGCGCCTCCGTGCGCCTTCGTGCGCCTTTGTGCGCCTTTGTGCGCGGTATGAACGATCCCTGTCAAAGCTGAAAGAAATTCGATTCTTTTGCAAGAAACGTATTTAGAATTTACATTATCTGTAACACTTTACAATGCACTTTCATTGTCTGTAACACTATACAATGCACTTTGATGGAAATCATGATTTTATCCTGTCATGATGTCTGAAACACAATGAAAATGCACTTAGCGGCAATGCGCGCACCGGAGATTCAAGAGCATTGATAGAGTAGCAACAATGACCAGCCTTAGAACTACAAATAGTGAATGGCGCAAGTTTTTGTCTCAACGGTTGCAAGGAGACGCCTACGATTTTAATGATGAGATTGACAGACTTTTAAATTCCAACTGTTATTGTTATTTGTTATTATATATCTGTACCATACTAAACGTGTGTGAATCATACTTGGGTCCGAATCGAATAGAAATTCGATCATTCCAATAAAACATTCGAACGTATTGGCATTCGAAATTCGATTTTCGGGTTTTTCTATTTCCGAAAAATATTCGAAACTCGAATATTTGAGTAAACGGAGTTTTGAACATAATTTTCCGAACAAAATTCGAAAACTCGAATAATCAAAAAACGAGGATTCGAATAAATTTTGAATGTTTCATTCGAATGATTATTCAAATTCGTATACGAATTGCTCATGCTTTTGGTTCACAATGAGCACTCTTGCTTTTAAAACTCATGCTGTACAACTCTGTTCCTTACCTCAAAGATTTTTCGCGAGTTGGTGTATTTTAAGTAAAGAACATTGCAGCTGTAGTGGAGAATTAGACGGTCGCTGAATTTTGCAGTTATAACACCTTGCAATAAACTTTTGTTCAGTAGATAGTACATAATAGTTCTGTTATTACAGTGCATCCAAGATTTTCAGGAGGCTTGCAGGCACTTTACATAACACTGGGAGATGTCAGCTTATCAACTATGATAAAGGCTAAAGCCGTACGAAGAAGGTTCACAATGAGGAATGCGAGCTTCGATTATGACAGGACCCGCACATACTTCGCGCGACCGTACGCGATTTGCCAGTTACAGGATGCTAGCTACGGGTGGAATTTGGTACAGGGGGTAAGGCAGGCTGCTGACTATGAATAAAATGGTAAACTGTCGACTTTATCGATTTTTTGGGAATTTTTGAGCTACGAGGCTAGGAGTTTGGTAAGGGGGAGGGGGAGGGGAGGGGGTAGACGAGGATGCTGATTATGAGTAAACATCTACTTTGATGCTTTTATGGATTTTTGGAGAATCATGTACGAGGCTGGGAGTTGGAACAGGGTATAAATGAGGGTGCTGATCAAGAATTATATCTATTTTATCGATTTCACCGACTCCTGCAAAATCTTGAGCTTAGAGTTGATATAGTGGATATGAGGGTGCTGAAATGAATGGATCGGGTGCAAATGGGATGCAACAGATGCAACACCACGAGGACCGCGATATTGCAAAAAAGAAGCCAATGTTATGGAGCTCAACAAAGTTTTTGATTAGAAGTGTATAACACGAATGTCAAGAACGAAGAAGAACTCTTAGCCAGGCCAAGCGTGGTAATGCATCCAGGAAATCCTTTTGTGCCCCCCCCCCCCCTCCCTCAAACTACCCATCTATTTGAGAACACTTTGAAGCCACCCATACACCCGCCCCTCTGCAAAAGAATTGAGCAATAACCCGTGGCACCTTCTAGTACAGTCGATTCGTTGACCGCATGGACTGGTCCATATGGGGCAACTAGCGACGCTTCCAAGTCGTAAGCGCTAAACAGGGAAAGTGTTTGCTGGCTGGTAGCAGGCACAAAGTCACTGCTATTTCTAATTTGCTCACGATGTTCACAATAGATTTCGACCTAATCAACTGTCTCAAGGTATATTCGTCTAAAAATTTCACTAGGTAGGTCTGTTTAGAAGATTCAAGTTTGCTATGTGATGTAGCTGCAATTCCTAGAGCATTTCTCTGTCATTTGTGTCGTCTGATGTCAGTCTTCCGCATGCGTTATTGTGTTCAAAATCTATAAAGTCTTTCTACATGCTACCTGCGCTGCGTCGTTGATCATTCACCACTGGTCCTATGCATCATTGTTTTGAAATAAAAATTATGATGTTTGCCTGCAAGCTACTACTTCAAAGTCCTAAAAAACTTCGAAAATCCAGTCTGGGTTCTTCCGTTGGTAATTTTCATTACCTCTATTTTCAGGAAACTAGTAGCTACCAAGTGAGTTTTTTGAATTTGGTTACCTTTCGTTAATTTGTTTTCGAACTTGTTATTTCCGAATCTTTTTTATAAATGTATGTGTCATTATCACGTTGTGTCTAAAGTCAGACCTATAAGTCATGCATTTAGGGTTGAGCCAGAGGCGCGGCGTACGGGCGTACGTGACGTACGCAGCGTAGGCTCGGTATATTTCATCATAAGAGCGTACGCGACGTACGCTGCGTACGCCGCGTACGCTGCGTACCCGCGTACGCCGCGCAGTCTGGCTCAACCCTTAGGCTGCGTTCATACTGATCCCAAAGCTCGGAAACAGTTTCAGCCCAGTTTTCAAATTGAGCGGTGTGCTGGAACTGTTCCCAGACTTCGGGATCAGTATGAGCGCAGCCTTAGGTCTTTGAGGAGGGGGAGGGTGTAAGTGCTGGGAAGGTATGACCATCTCAAGCGTATCTCCTAGCTTTCCAAGGCTGTTGAGTTTGTGTTTAATTCGGCCCTGCATGTCTCTATCGGTTGAAAAACCAGTGATAAGGCGGAAGCCTTATCACCACCATTACAAAGCAGATCTTTTCTGCTACATACTGGCGTAGCCTGGTTCGCCCCCTCGGAATGATGCAGTAGGGACAGACTGCGCGGCGTATGTCGCGTACGCCGCGCAGTCTGGCCCAATCTATATGAATGTTTTGAGCTATAATGATCCCGATTTGGTTTGGTAACGAATCTCTACATGCAGAGTAGTTACCTCTTCTAGCAGATCGCTTTTGGTGAAATTTTACACTACCATCACATTGTTTAAACGCAAGATATCTTCGATTTCCGCCTTTGTAAACGACGAGAAGGCAACTTGGATTTCATGTTGATAGTCGTAAGTTATTTGAAAGGAAGGCTTCTACATTTTATAGCTGTCGGCTGTGGTAAGGGGCACTGTCTATCACTAATGACAAACAAAGCCTTTTTCGCGACCTCCTTCGTGCGCAGTATAGTTTCGCAAATAGTAGATCTCATGGGTCATGTAACGATGGTAGTTTCCTTGAGTCGATCGTGTACCACTTATGATGGCTTTCATGGAACCGGAACGATTCCCTCTTTAGTAATAGCGCTGATGACAAAAGCCCGTTTGCCCTTTTTTTTTTTGCCATTCTTCTCCAGCAGGAGCACTCCCTCGTGGTGGCGTCAGAGGCAAAGCGAATTGTTGTCGTCACAACCTCTCTTCTTCTTCATACAATCAAACACCAATATTTGGTCCATATAGTGGACCTGTGCTTTGCTCCATTGCAGCAAGGTATGCAGTCCTCCGCTTGTTTAAA